TTAGTTTTCAGCTGCTCTTATACATCATTAAAGTAAAATCTCAGGAAGATCAATAGTTTTGTAGTTCGAATTTTAGTGACGTCATGTGAAAACCAGCTTCCGGCGTGATCCCGTATTTCGGTTTCACTTTGTAACGCAGGAAGAAATAATGAAGAAGTATTGTAAAATTGAAAAAGTATCTAGTGTTGCCGTTCAGCTAAGGTACAGTGTGGAAGAAGTTTGCAAGACGCAAACTTGTCTAAATGTCATATGTCAGGAAAATCAAAAAAATACATCGAAGTCCAGTGCAGTTTTAACGCATAACGGCGAACAGGAAGGCCACAATGGCAGCGAGAAGCCCGGCCAGTGCCACTTTGTCTCCGTCAGTGAGCTTTTGAGCGTGCTTCAATCCAATGTCCTCCGTGTACATGTTGCAGTAATCTTGGCAGTTGTTGCAAAGCTTGAAGTAGCTTCCAAATCTCTTCATCACCGCTACTGCCTTCCCAATTAGCTCCTGGCCCGTAGCTTCGACCTTACCAAGGTATTCCATCTTGGCCTTCGCAGATTTATCAACGGATCGTGTGACTGGATAGATATGCTTTTTGCCGTTGACTTTGATGAAACCAAGCTCAACAGTGACAAAATGCTCATCATCTGTGGTGAGAACGATGGACTTGTGCGCTCCGAACTCACTTCCGCGAATAGAGTAGACTTTATACCCAAGTTTTAAATTGAGTTGCGGCAGCAGTCCTTTCTTATCAAGCTCAATCAGTTGTTTCTTGTACTTTTGCAGATAGTCTTCTGTGTCGAGCATGGGCTCGGCGAATATTTCGGTGGAAGACATAACTTGTATCTTCAGTGGATCGACAAAAACGATGAATCTTCCCTACTTAGGTAGGACTACGTAAAAGGAAATTCCCTGCGTGGTTAAAACGCCACCTGGTGCAATCTGATTGGATGTTCTCGTGCAACAATATTTCTAAGAAACCTCATTAAAGTTGCGAAACAAAAGTCGTCTTTTTTTTTCTTGGAAAATTTTAATACTAGTCTGATAACCAAGTATGCGCTGCACTGTTTAGCTGTCAGACGTTTCGTTGCTTTCTTCCAGTTCACTTTACATACCAGGCAGGCTACACGGTCTGCCGGAGACTGTAACCATCTCAGTTCAACCGGGGCCGTATTTTGGTTGAGTAGCCCGCTAGCAGCAGTCGGGTTCACGTTGCACCTGAAAGTTGGCCTTATTCAAACCTGAACAATTGACTACCCTTGGCGGAGGCTTTGTCGGTACTGAAACGTTGCAGCAAGAGCACCTAGTAAACAAAGACGAGTATTCTTGAACCGCGGCTAGAACATGCCGTCTACCCACCATTTTGTCTGTCTACGTGCAAGTTCACCCCGGGATGACGGGGTTTGTTGCATGTAAGCGCAGGGTACTTTTCGACCGCGTCTAGGCGGGTTACCTAACCTAACCGGGTAATCCCCCTCTATGGAAACCGGCCCTTATAAATTGGAGGCTGAGACTATTGCAATCACTGCACCCGTTAATTGTTCAGTGGCGGATCTAGGGAAGGGGCTCGGGGTGCCCGCCCCACCCCCCTTATTTTGGGTAAAAGAAAGAAGGAATGACTGAAGGAAGAAAAGCCGGCAGGGCAAGTAAAACAAAACCGGGGGTCCCCTGGATCCGCCACTGCCGTTTATCCGAGTCGGGTTCAGTCCTGGTGGTGTTGAAACAGTGATGGGTTCGAAAGTGGCATTTTCCAGTAGAAACACTTTCTTCAGCTGAAGGGGAAATTTTGCGCCTTACCTCGGGCATTCCAAAAAGTTGTCGTATTAAGCTAAAGAACTGGTCCGTTTACTTCAGGCTCGAGATAACTTAACACTCTTTTCTCCAGCAGTAACACATCGAACGAAATGTGAAGTACTTAAATTTGATTTAAAGAAAAAATGACATTGACTAGATTTGAAAAGCATCTGTCTCAGGGATGGTATCTGTTGTGATCTAGTGAATTCGTCAGAAACTCAGGCTGTGCTAGTTTCGGACCGTGCCCCACATCCCTGACAATCCTTGTTCGCGTACCTCATTTCCGGTCTACCACGATTCTGTTAAAAAGGTTTTCCTGCTTGTCTTACAATGCTTAACATCCAAAAAAATGTGATTCCTACTTTTAGTAGTAGTAAATGCAGGAGACTTAATTTTCATTACGATCTTTCTCTGTTGTAAATCTAGCAAGTTCGAACCTGGTGCAATGTTATATTGTTGAAATGCTGCGTGATGGAAAGTAACTTCCGGTTCGTTTCGGTTGAGTGTCTCTATAAATAAACCAAATATGCCTACGTCATCGGGGAAAACTGGGAGAACATAACATCACGTGATTGCCTGGGAAACATACATTTAGCGCCATTTTGCTTGTGCTTAGGAAAGACAGGGAAGGTTTTTTCGGGTTTTACAACAGCCGTTTAAGTAGACTGAACTTGTAAAAGTACATCAATGAAGTGGGAATACAAGGAAGAGCATCCTTTTGAAAAGAGACGGGCAGAGGGAGAGAAAATTCGGAAGAAATACCCCGATAGAGTTCCGGTGAGTCTTGTTGGCAGGTTCTGTGGCAACTTCCTGTGAATACATGTTTTTTCATTTCTGAGAACAGTTAGTCAGGAAAGGGCTGCTTATATTAAAGCAAAATAACATTGTTACTCTTCCCATCTGTATTAGAAGCTAACAATATGTAAACGAAGCGGAGTGTGTAAAGCGAAAACGCTTGCAAAAATTTTAAAATGGCGTCAGCTTTGTAGTTGCAACGTCACGAATTACTGTCTGCCTCTCCCAATGTTACGTTGTGTTATTTGCGAGGGTAAAGAAGCCTTTGAATTTGTAGCTAGTCGATTTCATTGCATTTTCTTGGAAGCCGAAGGCATTGTCGAGATTCTTGTAAGCTTATTTGAAGATCGAGAAGGAGTGTCGTCAAAGATGCGAGAACATGTATTTAAAGCTTTCTTTCTCTTTGTGGTTCGAGCTCGTATTTTACATGAAGAATTTCACGTTTGATCCCGTTTTTATCATCAATTCTTAATATTTGATAGAGTTGAATATAAAATACATCTGGTGTGCCTGTAAAAGGTGATATTTTAATCGATGTAGTGAATTTTTATAAGGTAGAGTTCTTAGCATTGACTCTGCAGTGGAAGAATTTTTCAAACCTTTCGAAACTGACTGAAAATTTTCATGGAAGCCGGACTTCAATATTTATTAGTTTGACCTAGTAAGTTTTCTTTAGAAATTATATCATTCTGGGTTACACTGAAAATGATGTTACCTGTAAGTCTAGTTCCAAATTTATTCCTTCATTCTGCAGTCCTGTTTGAAATGCTAATAGAATCAAATAGAATTGGAAAATACATTTTCTATGATTCAGTCTCCCAGTGATCTACAAACCTCATCAGTCCAAAACTTTTATCTGCACATGCTGCGAAACACTTTCTATTCGCACATCGGTAGGTACTTGTAAACACTATACCACCATCACTCAGGGCATTCTTAAAATAAATTATTTCTCCAGTGTACCCCAAGAAAAACAACCTTTCAAGTTTTGTCATGGTAACTAAACATGCAAAATATATCTGTATCATGACTCAATGTTGTAAGAAATGGTACCCCAGTCATTGACTTCTCTTAGACTACATTACAATAAATTCCACAATTTTGAAAATGTGGCAAATGTCTCGAGAAGTGCTGTTTTTATGTATAAGAATCAGTGGTATTAAATTTGTAACACTGGATTGATGAAATGTTGTACACAAACTTTATTTATGTAGTATGTTAATTCTCACACTGTATAAGTTCAAGGAATGTTGTTGACATCTGTGTTTGTAGTTTGCATGATATTGCAGTTTGTAGTTTTCCATACATACATGTATCTTTAGATGTAATTTAACACTATTGCATCATTCAGTGAAAAATGAACACATGATGGTACAGACAACTTCAAAGTCCTCTGAATATGTGGTCCAGAAAATCACCATATGCACACAGATGGTTTGTCATGACAAGATTCATGAGGATCTGAAATCAAGGACCCCTGAACCATAGAACATCGGCAGGGGTCCTAGTTTATTCGATCTGTTGCTTAACGGTGGGAACGAAATTTCTTGATGCCTCCTGACAAGAGACACGTTACGAAATCAGTTTAGTCATACCGTGATCTGACAACTGAAACACGAGCCTGGCAATTTAATCGAAAGAATATAGATATTTTCAAACTTACCCGGCATATTTATGTACAAAGACAAAACACAGAGATTACTCAGCAGATAAATTAAAAGACCTGCTGCTTCAGATGGTACATGTATTTGTTAACAAAACAACTTCTCTCGCTGAAAACAGTGTCCTTGGACATAGCAGGAACTAACTTCAGTGTTCAATTATTAAAGTTTGATTGGTCAGGAAGTGAGCTGTTTTGCAATCACTTCTTTACATTCAAAACAACTTGAAAAATATGGCACACAAACCACTAGTAAGAAAATAAGAACAAGAATTTCAACAGCTCTTTTTACTAAATATAATGGCATACTATTCTATTCACAAATTTAAATGATAGCCTTTAAATCTGGCCGCAACTCGGGATCAACTAATCACTTAATGGACATTACAAACATTTCCAAAGTGGTAAATACTGCTCCTACGGCTCTGTCCCCTTTTACCAGTTAAGTTCTCAGGTGCGAAGTACGGAGAATCTTAGTTTCAACAGCCAATACATTTTCATTTGGAGTAATGAAGAAATCATAAGTTTGGCTCTATGTTTTCTTAGCTTTGGCCGACATCTACCTGTACGTGACATGTCCCCTTTGTTAAAAGGAATCTAAAATAAGGTAGTCAGTAGAGAAACCTTTTGACCCATAGCAACCTGGAAATAATACACCAAGCAGAATTGAGTTTTCGCTAGCAAATAGAACTGCTCCAAAAGTTCACCCTTGCCTTCTACTAGAGCTGTACATTGTGTGGAGGACGGCTTCACCGTTAGGGCCACTCCCTCTTAAAAAAAGGTAGAAATTTGTTTTTCAGACATCACAGTGATTTTGATTGGATGTCGTAAAATCAAAACCAAAGTTAACCACTAGCCAATCACAAAGAACGCAGACTATACAGTGAGCTGACGCCAAGCGCGCGAAAACGTATGCGCACAAGTCACGATTGGCTATTATTTTACTTCTGATTGGATGAAAAATTAGTGCGAGTTTTTTAAGCCAATCGTGAGGCGTGGTAATGCAAAAGCAATTACTTTTCAACACTTAATTGAAAACCGCTCTAAGTGAAAGCTCGCAGGCTCTCTCATAATTTGTTTTTGATGTCTCGTTTATAGGCCATTTCCGAGTTACCTTGAGCCTCTGTTTCAAAACGAGTCCTTGCGCAAAAACCTCTCATATGAAAATGAGTTTGAATTTCATGAAGAATCTATAGGGGGAATACACTTTCATGTGAATTGTTTCGCACAAGTTTCGTTTGGACGTAAAAGGCAACTCAGAAATGGTCTTTAGCAATGAATTTTTTTGGATGCGTATAAATATGCAATTGTATTTTATGCAGTTTGTTAATTTTTGATACCTGCACTTATCAAAATCACCTTAAACCGATAAGTGTTCAGTCACTTTCCTTCAACGTCTATTATTAATATAGTAGAATCTCGCTATTTTCCTAAATCACACTTGTTGAGGAAAATATTATTATCGTGAAGGCAAAGAAAATTACAATTACCCATAAGGCATTGTAGCTCCTAGGCAGTTGCTGTTAGAAATAAATTTCTGCATCGGTTCCAGGGTGAGGTTCGTGACCATGCTGTTGTTCCACCACGCTTCTTTGTATACCGCTGCCCCCTTGAACGCGGGCATGCTAAAGATTGACTGGAACGCGGGCTCACGATGAATTTTTTCCGCTACTTCTCCTTTGATCTTCATGAAAGCAACAGGATGTGTCGCGATGACGATCTTTTTAGCAGAAACAGCCAGCTTTAAGGTTGTTATAATGTACTTTGTTTCAATCTTTTCAATGGAAGACACTTCGCTATTCTTATACAACAGTCCTCCATGAAGTTGTACTGAAGACACCAGTGCGTCTACAACTTCAGACATGCCTTTTAACGGTCGCTGATGTTTGCTTGAAATAGGCAGTTTTAAATACTCTATATATTGCGCAGGGTTTATGGGCTCGGTATAGTCTCCTTTAAACCCGTAGGCGTCCGATAAAAATTCTGCCCCCTCGGGGGAGAGATAGTACGACATATACGAATCCACTGAAGCGAAAGACGGTGCAGTGGACACATATTCGTCTCTGAAAGCATAGCTTGCCATTTCGTTTCTTGTCATGTTCTTGAATTTTCCTTTGTTCAGCGTAGGAAAGGCTTGGTTTTTGATTGTCATACTGTTAGTAGAAAATACCCCGCGGGTTTCCTCGATACTTGGGTAATGATAATCCCACTTGATGGTCGAAATGTTCAATCTCTGAATAAGCTTTCTAAGAAGAAGAAAAAAAATCCGACGTCACGTTTTTGAAAAAGCTACAAGGCTATATGATATTGACACATTTTTAGGAGGGGAGTAGCCTGGCCACAGAACCTCTATTTTGTCTTGAGTTCGTCAAGATCGTAAGCAAAAGTATTAAACGCAGGGGGTTTAATTGAAAAATAAACGTCTGCGGACTGATCAGAGGGTGAGCGACATACGTGGCCATAGTTTAGTAGGTCACGCTAATGTCACGCCATGTCGAGAACCATAGGTAACGCTAGAATTACCTAAGTTGGTCACCTTTATCAATATTATTCTGCGAAGAAGCTGTACTCTTAATATCATTTACGATATGGGGTAAGTGGTGGAGAAGGACTGTACAAAACCGACAGAGGCAAATTTTTCTTGGTAGCTGATTCAATGGCTTTATAACTTTGATGCAACCATTTTTTCATTTTTTCAAGAGAATAAACATTTTAAGCGACGTGTAACGGAATATCCATGAAGAGCACATCAAGNNCCCCCCCCCCCCCCCCCCCACTCTCGCACGTCGTGCTGTTTTCTGCATCAAAACACTTTTGTGTCTCACAAGACATCGTTCGTTCGTTCGTTCGTTCGTTTGGTCGGTTGGTCGGTCGGTCGAACGTTCGTGCGTTCGTGTGCCCACTCACTCGCTCTAGCGCTCGTTCGTTCCTTCCTTTGCCCGCTCGCTCGTTCGTTCTTTTGTTGCTTACTACTAAGTAGTTCTTTACCAACACTTATATCAGGGGCTTGAGGAAACCAGTAATCAAATATCCTGCCACCAAATCGATCCTCTTTCTCAAAAACACAAACGCTTGTCTCTTTCTTTTTTCTCAAGAGTGTTTCAGCCATGTACAATCCTGATAAACCTAAACAAGGAAGACAACCAGAACAAATCAACAAATAATATGCTTGGATAATCTCCAACTCAAACAGGCTTAAATGTTTGGAACTTTCGGCGGAAGAATCAAATGGTTGCAGAATTTTCCGGAAACTCTGGAGTTCTTGCCTGGTTTGTTTTGCTATCAGACTAATCACGTGTTCAATGATGGCATAGTTTTTGTAAACCGTATGAGAAGGAGGGGAAGAGTATAACAAATAAGGGCTTCGTTTCAATCATAAATTGGCCAACGCATATAAAACAGACATAGACGACTACTTAAATCATTTTTTTGTTAACTAACGTACTTTCTTGACAAGAAGTAACAGCAGCAAAAAAGAATGATAGCGACGGTGGACACCAATAGCATATAGTTGTTTTCCCGATTTGCAATTTGGAAAGGGGGGCTTCAGAAAGAGAAGAGAGTTTGTTTAAAATTTGAAATTCCAGAAGAAAGAATGCCTGCTAGAGGAGGGAAGAGTGGTGACTTTAATAACGGTATTGAGCCTCATACTTTCGTTTAGACGGCAGAAACTCTCTTCTTCCCGTACAGGGCAGAGGTTAGGAAGAAGGTAGACGCTTGGAGCGAGGTTGTATTGTGTCAACAGACCATTTTCGTATTCTCGGTATTGGGCTGGAACGAGCTTGCTATTAAGGCGAGGAGTCTTTTCAAATGCAACTGTCTTCATAAGCCTCAGTTGCAAGCTAGATCCAGTCCAGTACCGAGAATACGAAAATAGCCTACTAGGGCGGGATCTGGGCACATACCTCCTCCGATAATGGCTACGTCGCACTGCAAATTACGTCTTGAAGACTGTACTTTATCCTTCTCTGTTCCTGTTCATAAACCAAGCAGGTGAAACAATCACTGTTTACTTAACTACCTTGCTACGCTCTTATCTGGTGACGTGGAAGTATAACGCGAGAATGTGGTGGAGAATCCCAACTGGTTGGAGGCTGACCAGTTGGCTATTTACACAACGCGATCGAGGATTTGAACTCGGAGCTACCGAGAACAAATCCAGATAGCGGTAGGGTAGATTAATCTCATTGAGGCCCAAGTCTAAAAAAAATTCATTGAGTTTTATTTAATTCCCGCCCAATTTAATGATTGTAAGGGCAATTTTTGATAGAAAGCAAAATAAAACCCCATGCCAGATGATATTCAAGCCAATGTTTCTGAAAGTCAAGTGGAGCGATTTCTCTGAGATTTTCACCTGAGTTAATTAGATGTTATAAGATTCATTTAAAACCAGNGAGAGCGTTGTCGAGAAAATTGCGGGTGAAAAAGGTGTCAAAATGACGCGCAAAGTTACTCATATATTAACACCTATAAAAAATGTTAATTATGTTTTCGGCTTGATCAGATACTTATGTCACCTCGATATTTTCACTCTTGTCTTGCAAGTGATGCTAGGGGCGTCAAGACGTCGGGTAATGTAATTGTAACATATATTTGATTAATAGGTCGCGTTAATTTCCCTCACGTTGAAATTTAAATACCTCTTTCGCGTCAAACAATTAAAAACTACAGAAACTACAGAACACAAATCCGAAAAGCTCAACTCAATCGAGGGTATTCCTCCTCGACGGCCGCGAAACCGTGACATCACCTCAAATTATGAGTCCGAGACATTCATATCAAGAACTCCTTGAGTTAAACCGCGCTTCATTTCAATCTACTTTTCTTGTTACAAAGCATGCCGCTTACCTTCACAGACCTCGCGGTCGTGATACTTCAAGTCTTTACTTCCAGGACCAAACATCGCCATTAGAGTCCCCATAACAACAAGCAGTATCACCACGACGAGAACACAAAGAACCCACCGCCATGGGTTTCCTCTGCGAGCGTGACTCCCTGATTGTGCGCGATATCCTTCAAAAAGCTCCAGTTCATTCTCCGAAGTGTTGTTAACCATGATTGCGCTCAACTCGCTAGGAAGTCAAGAAACAAGCTAAATGTGTATTAAAACCATTAGCAGTACAGGATATCAACATTCACATGCGGAAGTTTGTTTACATCACTACGAGATTCATGAGGATCTGAAATCATGGACCCCTGCCGATGTTCTACGGTTGAACCGTAGAACATCGGCAGGGGTCCTAGTTTATTCGACACGTAGCTTAACAGTGGGAATGAAATTCCTTGACGCCTCTTCGGAAGAGACGTGTAAAGAGATCAATTTAATCAGACCGCGATCTGACAACAGAAACACGAACCCGTCAAGTTGATCGAATGAATACAGGCTCAGAAACAAGGGCACAAACAGACATTTTCATTTTTATTTATCTGCAAAGACAAAACACAGAGATTATTAAGCGGATAAATTGAAAAACCTGCCGCTTCAGATGCCGGTAAATGTATTTGTTAATAGAGGACGCTTCTTCGCTGTAAACAAAACAACACGGTGTCCTTGGGCATCGCAGGAATTAAATTCGGTGTTCAATTAATGTTTGATTGGTCAGGAAGTGTGTTCTTTTGCAATCGCTTCTTTCCATTCAACGGCTCTGTCCCCTTTTACCAATTAAGATCTCTGGTGCGAAGATTAGTACGGAGTTTCTTAGTTTCGACAGCAAGAGATTTTCGTTTGGAGAAGTGAAGAAATCATAAGTTTGGCTCTACGTGTTCTTAGATCTACGTGACATGTCCCCTTTGTTAAAAGAAATCTAAAATAAGGAAGTCATTAGAGAAACATTTCGACACAAAGCAACCTGGAAATGATACACCAAGCAGAACTGAGTTTTCGTTGGCAAACAAAACAGCTCCAAAAGTTCATCCTCACCTTCTAAAAGAGCGTGATCTGCAGTATTTGGAACGGCTGACAGAAATAGCGGAGGGCATCGGCTTTACGCACAATCCCAATGCTCCCGGTAAGTACTTTTAAGTACTTAAATTGTGCTGCAAATTTTGAGAAAATTGCGGCACAACGAGTTGACATCATCACGTTCTAATTACCAGGGCCGAGAAATGTAGAATTTTTAAATTATCCTGGCAAAGAGACAGTCAGCATGGCCAAGCGCGAGGTGAGCAAAAAGCGCGACTTGCGTGTGATGATATAAGAAAAAAGAGCAACTGTCAAGCCTCGTATCGCCTTTAAAGTCGCTTGCACTCGAACGAGAAAAGGGTCGTCTCCTCAACTGTGAGGTCGTGCTGCCCTGGAAGCTACAAAGAAAAAGAAAACTACAAAGCAAGCCTCTCTTCACAGCTGTCTGAAATAATAATTGGTGAGAAGGGCAAGGTAGAGAAACTTGGGAGTGTTGCAAACTGATAAATTATGGTGTCCCGTGTTGGACACTTTCACTTATGGATACTAACTGTGGGACTCTATGTTGNTGAACACATGATGGTACAGACAACTTCAAAGTCCTCTGAATATGTGGTCCAGAAAATCACCATATGCACACAGATGGTTTGTCATGACAAGATTCATGAGGATCTGAAATCAAGGACCCCTGAACCGTAGAACATCGGCAGGGGTCCTAGTTTATTCGATCTGTTGCTTAACGGTGGGAACGAAATTTCTTGATGCCTCCTGACAAGAGACACGTTACGAAATCAGTTTAGTCATACCGTGATCTGACAACTGAAACACGAGCCTGGCAATTTAATCGAAAGAATATAGATATTTTCAAACTTACCCGGCATATTTATGTACAAAGACAAAACACAGAGATTACTCAGCAGATAAATTAAAAGACCTGCTGCTTCAGATGGTACATGTATTTGTTAACAAAACAACTTCTCTCGCTGAAAACAGTGTCCTTGGACATAGCAGGAACTAACTTCAGTGTTCAATTATTAAAGTTTGATTGGTCAGGAAGTGAGCTGTTTTGCAATCACTTCTTTACATTCAAAACAACTTGAAAAATATGGCACACAAACCACTAGTAAGAAAATAAGAACAAGAATTTCAACAGCTCTTTTTACTAAATATAATGGCATACTATTCTATTCACAAATTTAAATGATAGCCTTTAAATCTGGCCGCAACTCGGGATCAACTAATCACTTAATGGACATTACAAACATTTCCAAAGTGGTAAATACTGCTCCTACGGCTCTGTCCCCTTTTACCAGTTAAGTTCTCAGGTGCGAAGTACGGAGAATCTTAGTTTCAACAGCCAATACATTTTCATTTGGAGTAATGAAGAAATCATAAGTTTGGCTCTATGTTTTCTTAGCTTTGGCCGACATCTACCTGTACGTGACATGTCCCCTTTGTTAAAAGGAATCTAAAATAAGGTAGTCAGTAGAGAAACCTTTTGACCCATAGCAACCTGGAAATAATACACCAAGCAGAATTGAGTTTTCGCTAGCAAATAGAACTGCTCCAAAAGTTCACCCTTGCCTTCTACTAGAGCATGATCAGTATTTGGAATCGCTGACAGAAATAGCCGAGTGCACCGACTTTAGGAACAATCTCAATGTTCCCAGTAAGTACTTCAAATTTGCAGAACAATTTAAGTTGACACCACGTTCTTAATTATCAGGGCAGAGAACTGTAGAACTTTTAAATTACCCTAGTAAAGAGACAGTCAACATGGTCAGGGGCAAGGTGAGCAAAAAGCACAACTTGGTACAAGAACATGGTATAAGAAAAAAGAGAAACTGTCAACCCTTGTATTGCCTTTAAAGTGGCTTGCACTCAAATGAGAAAAGGGTAGTCCTAGCTGTCAGGTTGTGCTGCCCTGGAAGCTGTAAAGAAAAAGGAAAGCCTCTCTTCTTCTGTCTTAAGTAATAATTGGTGAAGGGCAAGGTAGAGAAACTTGGGAGTGCGAACTAATAAATTATGGTGTCCGGTGGTGGATGCTTCCACTAATGGATTTTTTTTTTCACATTTTTTTGCTTTTGCACACACAAAAGAAAAAACTTAACAAACACATAACTTCCATTAAAACTATCCTACTAACATTAGCGTGAGTAATTACAATGACTGCTAATACTTTACATGCAAGTAACTTATATTAATACAAAGATACTAATGATAACAGAAGTAATTACAATAACACTAGCACTAGTTACATTTTTTTGACAAATCTAAACATATATTCTAAGTGTTTTAATTTACAGAATTTCCCTTATTTTATTATTATTATTATTTAAAGAAACATTCATACAGGACTAAACTTACATTACATTACTCTACTTACATTACTCAACATCTCTCTACTTATTATATTACTGCAGTTATTGGATTAATCACTAGTAATCTCTAGTACTTATTTTTACATATACTAACGGTCACTTACTAACAGTCACTTACAGCATTACTTACATTACATTGCTAAACAAAACATGACTTACATTACACTACAAAGCTCACAATTCACAAATTGAGCTTACTTGCCTTCTTAAAATTACTTGAAGCACTCTACAAAATGACACCTTAGTTACCTTCTACTAACACTGCAAGTAGATTTAGAGAAAAAAGATAAGATTTTGGGTTTTTGATTTAGTGTGTCTGTTTCAATTGGCTGGTTAAATCAGAAAAAAAGCTTTGCGAGAAAATCTGTGACTTAGGGAAGAGCACAGTTCTCTATTTGCCATTGTAATGTAGCCTTTTTTGGAATTCCTGCATCTTTGGTTTCTTGTCCAATCATTTACAGGCGTAAATGTATTGTTTTAGAATAAAGACGAAAAGGTGTAGTCTGTGTCTTGGGTAATCGGTTAGATGAGTTAAACGGGGGATGTCATTAAAGGTTATTAACTTATTTGGATACTAACTGTGGGAGTCTACGTTGGAAAAGTACATCTACATACAGCATAAAACATATAAAAGGGGCTTATGGTACACTTATCTTCCCTGGACTTTTCTACTGTTCAGTTCAGATAAATCACATTTAATAATGACCACTGTATTTCATTATAGCAGTCATGATAAAAATGTTCACTTCTTCCTGCCATTTCATTAGTTGGAAGGGAATTTATCAAAGTTGGATCGTTTTGAACTCCACTGAACCGATCATTCATCACCTTGTAGATTTTTCACTTGCACCGGGTCAGCAAGAATGCCAAAACTAGTGGAAAACACGACCATATACACATACCGGTACACTTACCTTTTCCTTTCTGAGCCAAACCATGGACCCTGGCACCAAATGTGATCGATTTGGTCAGGTCCGTGTATAGATACTTCAACAATATCATGAATAAACTGGGCTTGTTACGGTATTATGATTCGGTCTGTAAGACAAAATTTTAACTTGCAATTGCGTCCAGTTTGCATAGTATCCAAACACTCGTGAATATGGATAATGGTTCACATATGACCATTCCCTCCAGTGCACAACCTCTAATGTTATTATCGCCGTCATAATAATTAACCATTCGCACTGTATTACCTTCTTCTGTCTGGTCTTCTTCTCTTACTCTTGCAGTGAGATGCGTGACAAGTTGATCAATACAAAGTACATGACGATGACAGATTTTTTGATCTCATAACACAACTCACTGGAAATTAGAACCCGTACCCTGCTGTGAATTTCAGAATCACATGAATCTCGTCATGATTTCTACTTCCCCCNCCGCCAATGCGCTTGGAATTTCCATTCCAGAGTGTTCATGGTGAGTCACCGTCTCCTCCGGAATTTCTGTTTTTTTTTTAACCCTCATTTCCAAACCCTATTTTACTACATGTAGCTGCTAAAAGGGTTCTCAGAGAAAAAAAACCTTGTTCAAGCAGGGTATGAAGTATTATCTGGTTTTCATTATTGCCAGCTCTGGTAGCATTTTATTGTTACATGTAGATTGTGTCTGGGTAAATATGTTGTTTGTGTCATTTTATAGGTCATTGTGGAAAAAGCACCCAAAGCAAGGATTGGTGACCTAGATAAAAAGAAATATCTGGTTCCTTCAGATCTGACAGGTTGGGTAATCATTACTGTTAAAGTACTGACTTTCAAACTCCCTGGGGCACTGCAAAGCACTCTTTACTTGATGTAATAGCTGTCTGTAACTGGAGCTTGCCGCTTACGAGAATAGTTCTCATAAGCGGCCACTGAGTTGTAAGGGAAGGATGGCCACCTATGGGAGCTTGCCTAGCTTGCAATAAATATTAGGAATGCAAAAATACCACCAAGTTTATTATTTTTTGTTGTTGTTTTACAGTGTATCTCCTTTTGCTATGTCACAATAATGGTGGTGGTAGTATACTGCAGTATTAGAATGGGCCTTGGTGATAAAGAACAAATCATAATTGCAGCCAGCATTAACATTAACATTAACAGTCTCACTGCAGCAAAAAGCAGTTATACAGTTTACAAATGTTTATAAGTATTTTTCATAGTCAGGCCCAATTTCTGTCAAATGTCCACTAAAGGAAGCTAAAAAACAAAGGAAAAGACTAGAACGTACGCCCTCCAAGTGTCCGCAGCCACTTACCAGAACGTCTGCTTATGAGAATGAGTAAATGCAGAGTTTGTATGGGAGTTCTAACAGGGTTTTGTGAAGGCAGTCATTAGTAAAGCTGTCCACTTATGAGTGTCCATTAAGATAGCTTCCACTGTATGTACATATGCAGGGCTTGAAAACAAAATTGTATTCCAGCTTGCCCTTCAGACAAGCAGCTCTCACATTTTGTTTTCCCTAGGCAAGTCTTAATAGTTTCCTTTTTCTCCTTTTAATAAGTTGGCAGACAATTTTCCTGGGCCCTTGCCCACTGGGTCCATGAGAATGAAATGTCGCCTGCCTAGTAAGAAAATTGACTTGTCCTGGTTGAGAAGACCACACAAGTTTTTGCAAGTGCTGAGTATCACCACCGTATTATCTGTTTGACTACGTTCTTCCAGGCAGACTGCATGTTGTTGACCTTTTTTGTTTTGTCAAAATTATTATCATTGTGTGTTTGCTCATGAACATGCATAGATAGATAGATAGATAGATAGATAGATAGATAGATAGATAGATAGATAGATAGATAGATAGATAGCTAGCTTAATTGACCAGTCAAGATATTTTTTGCCCTCATCACAGTGATCAAGCATGCGTGATGCAGTATGCTTAGTTTTACATATGTACATGGCACATGGTCAGCTCTTTTTTTATTTTTGCATCTTATGAGTACCTTTTAATGAAATGCTTGACCTGTTTTTGTCAGTGATGCTACAGACCATGCAAAAATAGTTGATCACTTAGTTGAGCCAAACATGAAGAGTGTGAAAAAAGTCTTTGGTCTTATAGGAATATTAGTATGCAGTACCACACTGTACATTCTGCTTTTCTTGATTAGAACTCTGAAAGTTAAGAGTTTTAAGTTTTGTTTTTTAAAGTGCCAAATTGAATTTTACATGTACTGTACCTGTTCTGTCTGTGCATTTACTCATAAAAATGATGATACAACAGAGTTCCCATTAACACACAGGTGTGCGTCTTATATGTGCAAAAAATGAAAAGGACTCACAGTTTTGTGGCAAAATGTGTCCTTGGGATGCAGGACGAAACCCCCAAGTCTTTAGAACTGGGGGCCCCATGCCAGCCAAGGACCCTTAACAAACAAAACTCAGCAAGTACATGTACTCAATTTTTAAATACCAGTATATTAGTCAATTGCATTAGTTAATGTTAAATAATTTATTGTTATCATTTTCCCTTCCACAGTGGGACAGTTTTACTTCTTAATTCGCAAGAGGATTCATTTGAGACCCGAGGATGCCTTGTTCTTCTTTGTCATTGCCAGTGGTCTTTCTGTTGTAAATTGTGGAAGACTCTGGCATTTAAAATTAAGTGGAGGTGCTGTGGTAATAAATTTTGAAAAATGCAGGACAGCCTGAACTTTAGAAGCTCACTTAAAGAAATTTAGCAGAGAGAGCCAAGAAGAAAAGGAAGTTTTAATTGTTAAATGGCGTCAGCTGACATGGAGTTTACAGTACTGATAGCAGTTATAGAGTAAACATTTAATGCTTCAAGTGCATATATATTATGCCAAAAATGGTGGCACTTGAATGTACCCAGTTTTAAAAGGCTGCAGGCAAGGATTATGCTTAACATGTGACAGAGAGATAAATATTAATCTTCAGCCTCTCTACACCGCTCTTGTTCTCTGAAAAAAGGCTCAGTGCCAAGCTACTAACTGTGCTCTCTTGGACAAAATGTGCATTTGCAACTTTTGAAGCTTTTTCAGTGGATTTCCTTAGTTACAAAGTAGCATGGAATGGCCATTCTTCAGTTTCCAAAAATTTCAGAGATTCCTTTTTTTGGGTCACAATGTTACATATCCATACATTGTAAAAGTAAGTGAAAATTGTTTAAAATTGCATTTTATCATTTCGTAGCAACTTACTATTTTGATTATGAGAAACATCATGCATTATTAATCTGCAGATCAATATCAGTGTTATATTTTTCGAAGGCAGTCAAATAAGGCAGAGGTACATGTATGTAGATTTTTGTTTTACTTGTTTCAAACCAGGAAGAAAAACAGCCTGAATAAATGCACTTCTGCTTAGAGCGAACACAGTAACATACATTTTGTTCTCAGTTTTCAGAATACAAGAGAAGGTAGAATTAAGAACGATTCAAATTACTCAAACTGTGAAACTACATTTCTTGTATATTGAATTTTTAATCTTCAAAGTTTTTGCTTTGTTTCAGTTAATTGTAGATAAATTCTGCAGATAATGCTGAATCTTAAGTTCTGTATGTAAAATAAACAATTATGGTCATGAACAAAATTAGTATTGATATACTTATATAAACAATAGCCTCCATTTCGTGGGAAAATATTGTAGGATATTTGTCTGTGGACCTTATCTGGTCTGAGAAGCGAACAGTTTTCTGAGAGCATAGCTCAAGAAAAACTGTGAGCCTAACCTCTGGTTAGCAGTAGAGCTGAATGTTTCCCAAGACAAAAGGTGAGGGGAACATCAAATTTCAAGGGAAAACAAAACAAACTGTTTCCCAAGGGACCAGTAATTAAGTACTTTGTTATATAGCTGGCACGGGCTGTTCGAAAGGTGGTAACACTATCCAGCGGATAAATCACTACTAAAATCACTATCCAGTGGATGGTGTGGTTTGTTTTCTTAACACTTATTCAGTGGATATTGATTTATCCAGTGGATAGTGTTATCCAGCCTTCAAACAACTGGGGCAAGGAGTTTCGTGTAAAGTAATATTAAGAAGAAGAATTTCACCCAAGTCAAAGTTACCTCTGGTTAGCAGTAGAGCTGAGCAGGTGACAATTGTTGCCTATTGGGTGACATTTAGATTTAGCCTTTTCAATGTAACCATAAATCAACCAATAAAGTAAAATAAAATTTGATTAAACTCCAGGGCACAGTTGTTCGAAAGGTGAATAATGCTATTCACGAGATAAATTGCTATAATAGTGGATAAGTGAAAACCAT